TGAGCCCCAGCGGACCTTCACCTCCAAGCAGCGCTGCTTCAGTCCAGCGCTGCGCTCCAGCAGCATGTCGCCAATCCTTGCATACCGCAAATGAGGAAGAGCTCCCCGCTCTTCCTGAAGATATAGCGGCCTACCGGCCTCCTGGGCGGTGCCTTCTTAGGCCAAGCGGCCTCCCAGCAACCGGTACCTCCTCCTTTTTGGAGGGAAACATCATTGCAGGCTCTGTTATTGTCCGCACAGGCCCTAGACCCGGGCTACTTGGACTGGTACCGGTCTACCTCTAACCTACCGCTACTGGGCCTCTAAAAATGCCAACTTTTTGTCTTCTTCTGCTCGGCCTACCTGCTACTTGAGTGTTTTTCCCCAGCTGCTCTAAGTGCTGTGGGCCTACTCCCTGCTACCGGCGTGTTTACCCCCCTGCAACCCTTCAAAGTCACGGCCACAGGTAAGTACCGGCCCGGTGGGACTTGCAACCAACAAGTACCCTTGCGGGTCACCCCACATACCCAACCAGCAAGCACTCAGACAGACATGCAAACCAGCAGGCACGCACACACACACAACCGGCAAGCACTCAGACAGGCATGCAAACCAGCAGGCATGCATACACACAGACTTGGGACCACAGCAGAATGTGGGAATCACGGCAAGGCATTCATTCCAGTGACAAATCCCAGAAATCAGCAGTGTTCTCAGTCTGTGTTTTTGGCGGGTCAYTACATTACTCCCCTCTCGAGAGCGAGGTCCCTTCGAGCGAGTAACTCAGTCAGAGTCGGTACATAACGCATCGTAGGAGTACATCAGAAAAAGAGACTTGGTCAATCCATGAGGAGTCATTGTTGTTACGAACTTAGCGGTCTGTCCCTTGGTGATCTGTCTTTCGTAAGCGTTCACAACACGGGGAGCACTTTTTAGCAGCTCTTTCCAGTCGATCCAGAAGAATTCAGTCAACGGGTGATAGAGGAAGTGAACCTTATACTGTCTGCTCCTCCCTCTGCCCTCGTGAGATACGATTCTGTCTATCTCATGGCCGACGTCGATAGGGCGAGGTATCATCGGGTCCCGGAAAGGAAAGGTCTCATCATCAATGTGTGGGAATAGTTTGGACGCATGAAAGACCGGATACGTGCGCAGATGAGGAGGCACGTCAATCACAAATGAAGGGCCAAAGTCATCCCCGACTACCTTCAGAATCTGCCAAGGGCCGTAGTACAGTAGAAGAAGCTTCCGTGATATGCCCTCTTCATAAGAAAACTCAGACATTTTGACCCAAACATAATCCCCTACTTTGAATTTTTTTTCTTTCCGCAGCTTATTGGCATGTTTGATCATGGCATGCTGGCGCTTATTCATAGCTGCTGTAGCAGCTTTGAGCAAGCGTGCGTACTTGGCATTGTAGCCAGGCATGCCGGGCATCAGACCAGGTGACTGTTCGAGGAACAGGTAGGAGAGGGGATTACGCATCGGCCATCCATACTGCAATTGGTTTGGTGTCACACCAGTCGCAGAGTGAATGAAGTTACACAACCCCTTCACTTTGTGCTATTCCTTCTCCCGCGTGTTCTGATCTGGAACAATTAGTGCGCGAAGCAATTGGATGACAGTCTGGTTGATCTCCTCGGCCAATCCATTGGCTTCGGGGTGTCGACCAGAAGTCCTGTTCAGTTTGATATCTTAGATCTGAGATGTGAAGTCTTTCCAATCTTTGCTGATGAATCTGGTGTCCCGATCACTCACAATAGTTTTCGGGACGTCGATCACTTACAATAGTTTTCGGGACGCCGGACTGCAGAATGTACTGCTGATGGAATTCTTCTATGACAAGTTCGGTCGGGGCGTGAGGAGGGAGAGGAATCAAATTCAGAAATTTGGAGAAGCGGTCCACAATGACCATGACTTGTGAATTCCCAGCCTCACTCACCTTTCCCATGTCCGTGAAGTCGATGGAAATCAATTCACCGGGTCCATCAGGAATGGGGAGAGGTCTCAGTAGGCCATAAGGCTTATGCCTGTGGACCTTGATTCTTTGGCATACTTGACATTCAACAATGAATTTTTGAGCAGATCCTTTCATTCCCGGCCAATCAAATTGCTGCAGAAGACTTCCATAAGTCTTTTCAAAGCCAAAATGTCCACTCCGACCATGTGCCAAATYCAAGAAATGAGTCCGGAGAGGCGCATGGTTGGGTACACACAAACGGTCAAACTTCCCATACCAACGGAATACAAGACCCTCGCATTCATGAAAATCAGGCTGACTGTCAGGGTCGGCCTTGAGCTGCTCAAGGATGGGACTGAGGTCCGGATCCTTGGCGGTGTGTTCAACCAGATCCTCCTTCAGTTTCCTTAAGAGGTCGTATGAACCCACAAGGCAAGTCAAGAATTCAGGATGGCGGGACAACGCATCAGCAACCCGGTTATAATAGCCTTTCTTATGTTTCAAGCTGTAGACATCAATGTCATGCAACGAGCGGGTCAATGTAGGATAGAGTTAAGATTGTGTCTGAATCCACTGCAAGGTCTGATGATCAGAGTAGACCTTGAAGTGGTGACCCAAGAGGTAGTGTTTCCAATGTGCGAGGGCTTCGCGCAGGGTGTAAAACTCACGCATGTATGTGGAAGTAGCTACCTTATGGCTGGGCATGCGTTTGCTGTAGTACTCGAGCGGACGCAGACCATCACCATCATCTTGCTGCAGCACAGCACCAATCCCGAACTGGCTAGCATCCGTAGTGACTACGAAAGTGAGGTTGGGATCGGCAATGCGAAGCACAGGATGACTCACCAATGCCTCTTTCAAGGCTTGGAACGCAGTCTCACACTTCTCACACCATGCATAGGCAACATTCTTGCTGGTTAGTCTTGAGAGAGGGTGAGCAATTACAAAGAATTTGGGCACAAACTTCCGGTAATATGAGGCCAGACCCAGGAAAGAACGCAGTTCGCGTACGTTTGCCGGTTGAGGCCAATTTCGGATGACCTCAAGCTTGGTTGCCTTCGACTCAAGGCCGTTTGCAGACAACCGATGCCCAAGATAGATGACGCTGTCCCTCCCAAACTCAGATTTCTCCAAGTTGAGGTGCAGCTGCGCCTCATTGAGAACCTGCAAAACTTCCTCAAGGTGCTTGAGGTGCTCCTCCATGGTTTTGTTGAAGATCAAGATATCATCAAGGTACACAACCACAAACCTGTTGAGTTGATGGCGAAGTACCTTGTCCATGAGGCACTGAAAGGTGACCGGTGCATTCGTAAGACCGAAGGGCATAACGATGACCTCGTACAGCCCATATCGTGTGTTGAATGCAGTCTTGTGCTGGTCACTCGGATCAACTTCAATCTGGTGGTAGCTAGACTTGAGGTCGATCTTGAAGAAGACTTTGCAACCACCGACCGCATCTAACAGGACATCTATACGAGGCAAAGGGTAGGCATTCTTCCTTGTGATTCGGTTCAAGCCACGATAATCAATGCACATCCGGAGTTTGCCTCCTTTCTTTGGCACAAACAAGACAGGTGCGCCAAATTCCGACTCGCTAGGTCTAATCTATCCATGGCACAAACAAGACAGGTGCGCCAAATTCCGACTCGCTAGGTCTAATCCATCCACGGTCAATCATATCATCAATCTGCTGTCTAAACTCCTCCAACTCGCCTTGTCCCATACGGTAGACGCAGCCCTTTGGAGGAACACTCCCCTCTATTATCTCGATTTTGTGTTTGACCGGACGCTCGGGACTCCACGAGGTTCGGCCAAAACTTCAGGGAATCGATCCAATAGTTGGCGAATGTTTGTTGGGACTTCCGATGGAGGATCATCCTCATCAGGAGAAAAAAAATTAGACTGAGAATTTACAGCAATTACAACCGGATTGGAAGTAGAAAGATTATTCACAGTAGAAGTAGATGGATTAGAAGTAGAGTTACTTACCGAGGTAGAAAATGCAGCAAAAGTAGAAGGCACATGAAGTGGTTTTACAAGGGCTATATGTACAAACTCTGCTTCCTTGCGCCTCCACACTGACCTGCAGAATTTGTTAGCACTGAGAAGAGTCGTAGGGGACTTGCGCGTCTCATCTAATAAGATGGTACGCTCGTTCCCCTTGGCATCAAGTACCACGAACTGATTGTCGGCCCATGTGGTCCTTAGGCAATGAGCCTTTAGCCAGCCCAAGCCAATGACCGCGTCGAAAGGACACTTATCCAGGACATAGAAATTCAGCTCATGTGTGACAGTGTGGTCTTTGTCAAAGGTGATGCGCACACCTTTGACAGCATGAGTGGAAGTGACAACCTCTTGGTTGCCCACCTAAGTCAGGCAAGGGTTCTGCAGTTCCACTTGGTTCATACCCAGACCCGCCTTATGAATCCCGTTCGGAGAGAAGAAATTAGTGGTCGAACCACTGTCAATCAGCACACGGATGTATCGGCGGTTAATAAGTAGTTTAAAGAAAGTCAGCTCCACGCTCCCTTGAACATGGCATTGCTGCTTGAGCTGCAGCCAATGCTCCATGTGGGCGTGGAGGTCGACCTCTTTAAACTCCTCCCAAGGCTCAGTGTATAACACTTGGACTGCATCAGCGTTGGATTCAGTATTAGTTTGGGCTTCAAAAGCACGCTGCTGATCAGATCCAGGCTCCTCGGAAGGGCCTGCAACTGACCGCCCAGCTTCCCTTGCTGTAGATAGTGTTGATGACTCCTCTACGCCCCTTGCCTGTTTCCCTGAAGACGATAGCAATCCTGCACAGCATGCCCAGACTTTTGACAATGCAAGCATACGCGCAGTTTGGATTTTCTTTCCCATTCCTTTAGAGTGATGCGGAGAGCTTCCCAAGGCTTGGTAGAAGCGTCCTCTGGTTTCTCAGGGATCTTAGCATTTTTGGGAAGGTGTATGACAGTTCCCTTACCTGAACCACGGTTAGGCCCCTTATTTGAAGCAGTCTTTCTGAATGCATTAAGTTTCTCATCATCATTTCTGTCACACTCAATGGCTGATGTGGAACAGCCCGTATCGGAGTCCGGCTCTAGATCGTCATCTAGAGACAGATCATCCGCATAGGAATGATCTTCAGCCTCTCGATGATCATGCAGTGCAAGCTGGTTGCTGCTTCCAAACCGCTTGCGTTGTGGTTTCCCACCTGCAGCGGGCGCCTTCTTGCGCCTGGCAAGGTCCTTGGCCTCTAGGTCGACTAAGTTCTTCATGAGCTCTCGCCAGGTGGTATGGTCCTTGAGTGCTAGCAGGGAGAGGTATTCTTTAGGGGCCACCCCCATGACTACATCCATACAAGGTACGTCAGTCATTCCCAGATCCGGAGTGAACATGTTATTCGTTAAAACAGTACATTATTGTGTGTACTATTTTAGAACGAATTTATGACACAGTGTATAGTCTGGTGTAGTATTCCAGATCCGGATACATCCGAACAAGGAGTAAAATCAGCTTTGAGGCGAGGAGCACAGTCAGTATATATATCTATTGCGCTCCTCTCGTGGTTCGGATGTGTCCAGATGTGGAACACCACAGCAGAGTATACACTGTGTTATACCCCTCTGAGTCAGTACATATATCTGCTACCACTGTGTTATATGTACTGCTGCCTCAGTACATATATCTCCTGTGTCCAGATGCGGAACACCAGAACACTGTCAGAGTAATATATTACACTGTGTCATAGTTTCACTTGGAGTTGAGCATCCCACTCATCCGAATCAGAAGAGTATAATGACACAAACTCGAGTTTGTGAGTAAGACGAGTTGTGGCTCATCACAGACTTAGAGATAGAAAGAGAGAGAGAGACAGAAAGAGCGAGCGAGAGAGAGACAGAAAGAGCGAGAGACAGAGAGTCTTAGAGAGACTGTACTTAATTTTCATGAGACGCAGGGTCGAGCACACGCGTAGACCATCAACCTCATTTTTTAAAGCATTTCAGACGATCGTTGTAGGAGAGCAGCAAGGTAATGTGAATTTCCAAGATAAGCGAAGCTCGAATGTATCCGAGATCACAGGAGATAGACAGACAAAGGAAGTCCGCGAGAAATGGTCGTGTACATTTGAAGAGCGAGAGATATAGAAAGAGAGAGAGAGACAGAAAGAGCGAGAGACAGAGTGTCTCAGAGAGACTGTACTTAATTTTCTCGAGACCCCACGGACGGCGCAGGGTCGAGCACACGCGGAGATCATTAGCCTCGTTCTTAAAAGCATTTCAGACGATCGTTGCAGAAGAGCAGCAAGACAATGTGATTTTCCTAGATAAGTTCGGATATATCCGAGATCACAGGAGATTGACAGAGAGGAAGCCCGCAAGAAATGACATATTAGTACGCCAGAGGGCTGAGAGATGGAAAAAACAAGCACCGTATAGTCACCCACAACATTTCGTGTTACGGACGTATCCGAAGTGTCGAACTAGTATAGACCCTTCAGTTTGAAATTTCCCCTGTGCTTTTTGGGACACAGTTCAAGAAGTATTTTTTGCGAAACTGAGAGAGAGAGAGAGAGAGAGAGAGAGACAAACATTGTACCATCATCCACCACATTTCTGATCCATCCGGAGTGTCTCGGCTGTGAGTCGCTTCGCTATGATCTAGACAGAGCTGACAGAGATAGAAAGAGCGCGTCACAGTGATGGAGAGGGAGACAGAGACAGAGACAGGGACATAGACAGAGACAAAGAGAGAGACAGAGAGAGTGTGGATGATCGCACTGAATTTTCTTTTCATGTCGACGTGGCATAGGAGACGCATGTTCGAGGAACACGCGAAAACCACAAGTGTAGCTGTACAAGAGTTGCAAGGTTTTCGTTAGGCGAGAGTAAGCCAAGTTCGGATGCATCCGAGATGACAGGGGAAAGGGAGTCCGAAGCAAACAGCAAATGAGCGCACTAGACACGGCTGTGTGCGAGAGAGAGAGAGAGAGAGAGAGAGAGAGAGAGAGAGAGAGAGAAAGAGAGAGAGAAAGCTGATTCTTGAATTTGTTTTTCGAAAATTGAGGCGTTCACCAATCATATAATGGTCATTTGTTCATGAGTGCCAACTCAATTCAGTTTGTGTCACTTTGTAGTACCAATCGGCTTCGCCTTGTGATTTATCCTTCCGTCACCACATCCAATTTTGTCCAATCATGCAATTGTATTTTCAGTCGCGCTACCTTAATTCAAATCTCGTCACATTCGAGCAGCCATTGGCGTCGCCTTTTGGGTTTTCCCTCTCGGCACATTCAAATTTTTCATTGTATTGGGTAATGCATAGGAACCGAATGTATGAATGCTCGTGCAGAAGGGGAGCTTTGCCGGGCCAAAGAATTGACAGCATTCAATGTCGGAATCACAAAGCACACAGTGCGGAGGGCCAGACGGGCCATCAAATGTATAAAGAGGCCCGTGTGTTGTATTTTTTTCTCTGTGACGCCTCAGAACATTCAAAGTGAAAATGCATAGATGAGTGTAGACGACGGGGGAGGTTCGAGAGAGAGGCAGAAAAGCATAGAGTTAGTTCGAGTCCGGATGCATCCGAGTATGTGGGCAGAACATCACATCACACAAGGCACAAAATGACGAAAGCGAGAAAGTCAATCACGAAACAGGCGCCCCAACAACGGGGACGTTCGTGACAATTGAAACCCAATGAGAAAGAACAATATTGTCGACGACAAACACGCCGGGAACATGACAAGCTCACCCGGAGATATCTTGGCAGTGACAGCCAGTTCTGCTTTGAAACAAACCGAGAACACCCACCAGTCTCTCACGGAAAAAATGAAAAGGAACAAATTTCGTCCGGAGAAGAAGGAAATGTTCTTCTACGTCAACCCTTCTACACTACATGATCAACAAAGAGATAGACGCTTACCTACCAACATCGCAAATCGCCAAAGCTAGTCTAGCTCTGATAGAGGAGATGTGTCTATGGGAGAAACCAAAAGGTGGACGTAAACCTCTTGCCAAACAGGAAGCGAACATCAACATGAACACCCCACAACTAGCCCCGTTGTGCTGTAGAGGGACACCTTTCACGTTGACCTCGCGAGCGAAGTGGTCGAAAGTGCGACCATCACCGGCGGCACCTGCCATCGTGTTCAAAAATTTAACAGTTTTATCCAGAAGTGCAGAGTAGAAGGAATCTTTGGATGACGAACACGAGAAAGAATCATAGATTTCCAAAACACGTCTAGAGAAGTCAATGGCCAAAAGGCTCCAGTGTTCGCCGTCCTTGTGCACTGGTGCCAAGACGAGGTCATGAGACAGGAGGTCGACATCTTTGGCCCATCTGAGAACAAATGCCGGACCTCGCAGAAGCAGTGAAGAGGCGAAGAAGGAGTTAAAGGTGTATGTCTTCATGGTATATGTCTTCATGGTAGCGGCAGTCCGACCGCAGTCGTCCAGTAGCATCGCCATGTAGAAATTGACAACCTCATCGTTGAGCTCCCCGGATCTATCCATGAGTGCGACGATGTCCTTGACGGATACCTGTAAACTGTGCGACGGCAAACACACGACGATGATAGTGAGCGGCAACCGGGAGCAGATAACGTCTTCAAGGACCGCTTTTCCATCTCGAGGAAACCCTGTTCAATAAACACCCGCAGCACACAGCAAGCACAAAGGATGGGGCACTATGAGAAAATGTCGTCCTAGCGGCCATGGTCCGAGGAACCGCTACTCTGTGGTCCGAAAAGTTCACGCATAACGTCACCCCTACTTCTGGACCTTCTACACACAGTTGATTCTAAACTAGCACTGTCCTTTATATCCCTGCAAGCCTCGAGAAGGAATTCCTTGCAGTCTTTTTTGGCAACACCCGCTGCCTCTGCAACGAGTTTTGCGCGAGAGCCCAATACGGCACTATTACCCTTCTGGGAAGGCCTCGAGGCTTAGTGTCCCCAGGAAACGCATCAGGGACATTGCGACGACCAGTGCCTCCCGCAACCAGGACTGACAACCTGGCGAGGGCAGGCGGCTCCTGCGACATGGGTGTTTGTCCACGAGTTCGTCGACCTGTACAAGAAATAGCCAGCCAGAGAGTTCAGTTGGAGATCAACAACACAAGTTCCCAAGAGCAACCAAGCAAACAGCACCTCACGAAGCACATCGTCACAATCCAGTTGGCGGCCGCCTATACACCTCCCCGAAATCGACGAAGCAAACAACACTTCACGAACGGGCTGACGAGCGGGAAGAAAGCAGAGAAAGTCAGTGCTTACCAGACCTAGCTACCACTTCACCAGAGCCCACCAACGGTAGTCCCAGCACGATTGGCACCCCTGCGTGCGTCGACGCGGCGACAACGTGCTCCAAACCCACAGGGAAACTTGACAGGCTCGAGATGTTGGCGTCGATGACCGTAGACGGTATATTCGTCCCCGGACAAAGCGCCCACAACATCGACAGGTTGTGTTTTCTCCATTGCCACTGTGTCGTACTGTGTTGGGCTCAATGTCCCATGGATGTCCAACAACACATCTTCCCCCCTTAATGTCTTGTCCCCGTACGCTGTGTCTTTGTCGTCGTCACTCAAATACAGAAATATATCTCCAACAGCGTCAGAGGCCTTCTTCAGAACGTCCTCCCCCATCGCCTCGTTGTGAAGGGCGGAGTACAAGGGATCGTCGTATCCCGACTGAACTGGTAGCTCCATCCCGACGTCGCTGAGTGTCGGATCAATCCGGTCGTCGGCGGTATTGTCCTTGTCCAAAGTCGTCAGTAGTCGACAACCCTCAACGCCTGCCAGTTGAAGTCCTTCGTCCGTGTGCCTCGGATGAATCCGAATCACGGTCGTCTCCAAAGATGCATCAGGGAGGGACATGTTCACAGGGCCCTGGTTCGGATTCATCCGAGCCCCCGCAGTTTCCAATGACGCCGACATGATCGCTTTCACCGGGGAGTCGCTTACGATTGCTAACTCGGCTCCGAGTGTGTTGGGCTCGACATTGGAACTGGTCGCCAACTCACCCTCAGTCGGAAAGTCCGCCTGAAGCTCCTTGTGGGCTTCCACGCATAGCATTACTGCATCCTGACACCGATCGTCTGTCATGGCAGACACGGCTTCCTGGTTCGGATGAATCCGAATTTCGTCGCCAGGGTTTTCGGAAACACGGACCACCCGTTCGAGTTCTGTAGACAGTTATGCTCCCTCGATGGCACGGCCTTCGCGGTGCGGATTAATCCGAACTTCCTTTTGAGGCGAAACGAAACACGGTTCCAGCTTGTCGCTGCCGGACCCGTGGTATGTTGTCGTCTCGCTTCCCCGAAGGCATTGAGTTCCAGACAACGACGTCGTCTCCGAGGTTCGGATTGATCCGAGACAATCTGCCAACCGTTTTTGGAGCTGAGCGAAGCATGTTCCATGCTTTGCGACACCCGCCCCGCCAACCGCATCGACAAACTGTGTTTTGCTGGTGGAGCTAATCACAGGGTCCTGCTCGCCAGGCCGCGTAATACACCCAGGTCTCAAGTCGTTCCCCGTCTCCATTGAGGTGCTGCCTGTTACCGCCAGAACCTCACCGTCCTCGTCGCGGTCGACATCGGACCCATGCCGTCTCCTCTGTGATACTTCGTCTTCTCTCCGCTGCGAGGCTTTTTCTTCTCCCGGCTGCCCTTCTTCCCCTCTCCGCCACCTGCGTGCCCCGGAGACCGCTGTTTCCTCGAACGCGGTTCACTTCCACCTCCGGTACCTCGTTGCCCGCTGCCTTCACCATCCCCGTCGACGTCCTTTCCGCGAGACTTGCGCTTCACAACTCCTGCCGGCGGGGTGACCTCAGGCAACTCCCAACTCACTTGCTTAATTGACGGGCTTGACGGAAGGGCGTGGATTGCGGAGGACACTTCCAGCCATTTATTTGACTGCAATAACTCGAACAGCGTGTCCCCATATTCGCGAAGAGCAGGGTCGTCCTTACTTCGTCGATTGACCTCACTTAATCTCTCCAATACCGCATCGTAGGCGCGAGATTCGAATGTCTCGAGGTCCCAATGATCGTCATATATCCACCCTCCACTTACGTCCCTCACAACCACTGCCCATTCGCCGTCGAGAAGGACTGGCTGAAAATGGTCTGGGTGCCACACGATATCATGGCCCCAATCTTCGGCTGTGGAGAAGGTGTGTTTGTCGCCCATGTGGAAGGGAGTCGCAGGAGCCTTGAGATGCGGATGGTCCGGAGGAACTGGATGGCCGGGTCGAAGACGTTCGGGCTGCGGCGTGAAACGAATAGGCTCCCCCGGCGAACTCCTCAGACGGGACAACCCACCCCTCTTGACAGGCGCTGAGGAGGACACGGGCGTGGGACCGCCCAAGGTAGGTGTAGTGAGAGGTATCCCCGGTTTGCATACTGATGGCGACTCAGAAACTTGGGCGTTGAAGATGGCCAATTGCCCGTCCATATCGAAGAGGTCATCCTCAATGCTCTCCTCCTGCTTAGTCTCGATATTGAAGTCGTCCTCCTCACCGAATGCCAGCTTGTACTTATCCAAAGTGAAGTCGGCCGGATCGACAACATCCTCGTTAAAAAAGACATATTCCAGCCTCTTAATGAAGCTCACAGCGCCGGCCCGACTCGCTCCGTGGTAGCCCTGGAGGACCGCAATGGCCTTCTGCACTACGTACTGCGGGTCAAATCTCAACCTTGGTTGTTCGCCGTAAAGGAAGGAGTAGACCTGACGCCTTTTCTTCGGAGTCAATCTGAAGAACATGTCCTTGTTCGGGTCATAAACGGCCTCGACCACGACATGGTGGAAATCGCATGGGTAAGCCTTGGACGACACTTCATGGGTGACATACCGCACGGTGTATTCCAGCTGCGTTGTGTCCCCATCCACGGCCAAGACGTGCCTTCCCTGCTGAAGCAGACTCCACACCACCTGCGCGTGCGGCTTGCCCAAGAACAGCACGGCATCCGCCACACCACAGAAGAAAAGAAGCTGATTGCACAACTGATTCGGATTTCGCTCGCCGTCCTTGTACAGAGCCCCCCTCCGGGTCAGGTTTTCGATGTCCGCGAAAGTCAAGGACTTGAAAGACTTCTCCTCCACATCCGTAGTGTCACTTTCTGTTTCCTCCATAGAGCGGCGTCGTCGTCTTCAGCAACAGCTCCCTCGTACACCGGGTGAGTCAGTAGCCGAGGATCCTCGCCTTTGAAAAGGATGTGCATCACATCCGGCTCCTTCCAGACGTTGTTTCCGAACTGATGCGTCTTCTTCGATGCCGTCTTCCGAATCCACTTCCCCGTGTAGCATCGGGTAGCCCCAAGCGCAGACAAACATGTCATGAATGAGAGGTTCCACAGGCAGGGGACGAATACCACCAATGTCCAGTAGCCCTGACAAACGAAGCCCAGCAACTCACTCAGAGACGCGAATGCCCAGAGTCCCATCGCGCACGGTCCACAGTACCGCATAAGTCGAGCACGCAAGTGTGGGAGCGTAGTTGATGCCCTAGTTTTCCCAGCGCCTCCTTATGATCTCTGGCACTCAATGGGTCGACGTTAAATTGGGCCAGCGTCGTCAAGGCGCTTGTCCTTGTCCACATAATGTTGATGCATTCATCAACGCCCCGAGGATTTTTTTTTGCCTTTGGCGCGATCTCCAGTGATCACCGAAAGGACGACACGCTTCCACTCCGCCGGAAAATGCTGGTCGTTGACGAGGGCCGTCGTTCTCTTGACGTTGTTGTCGTGTTGACACCCGAGAAACTGAGGGCACTTGTTGACGTATGTGGTGTCCGTGAAAAATTTCCTGCTCTCGTTCCAAAGCTTGTCGTCGAGACCTCTGTCCTTGAACTCTTCGAACAGTTGCTTCTTGGACCTGAAGAACGTGGAGTTGGCATTCCATTCCCGCTTATCCATTTCCTCGTACTCGAACTCCACGTAGTGCCGCAGCCTCAGCATAATCCGGTCCATTTTTATTATGTCGACCATCTCCTTGACACTGAACTTCCCCTGCTCGGCCAACTTCTTGCTACTTGTTTGAACCCACACGGCGTTAAGGTTCAAGACGCCGTTCAACAGCCTTTTCTTCTCGCGGTCCGTCAAGTCCACCAATTCCTTCCAGCAGTGGACATCCGGCTCCGGAACTTGGACGTAGAAAGTTTTCTCCTCCGCGCCTTTCTTTGGCTTCCCCCTGCCCTTTTTCAACGACGGGTCGTCCACCTTCACGTACCAGATGTGTTTCTTCAGCCCCTGGCTGTTAGTCACAGTGGAGAGTCCTGGCTTGGCCACCTCCTCATGGGTGGGCGGCTTTTCAGTCCAACGCCGGCCGTCGGAAGCAAGGAGTTTCCCTTTCGACCACTCCTTATAAAACTTCAATCCCAAAGCGAAGACGGAGTCATCTGCCATCGAAGTTTCTCAGCCCATTCCTTTCTTTTCTTTGCTTCCGTTGACAGGTTCCAGATAGGCGTGAAGGGCGTCTTCTTCATTGCCAACGCCATGAACCGCACCCACTTTCGCACCTCGTCCTGTTTCTTCGAGGCATTGCCGAGCACCACACGCGGTTTGCCCTTAATTTTCCAGATATTGCGAATGTCCCGCATAGACAAAACCTGCAAGCGCGGTGGATTCTTCTTGTCTTTCATGTTGTCTTCGCAGCTGACATGGGCGTAGCCGTTGAACTCGTCGTCAGGGAAGTAGATCGGTCTGAATGGCCATTTACAGAAGTTGTAGTAATCAAACACGGGATGGTCTTTCACCATCATCGCCGCCCTTGCGTTATGCTGTCCACACACAGGGTAATACCAGTATTTCTCCGGGTGTGAGCTGTTGAAGTCAGCAGGCAGCATGCACACAGCAGGCTCGCCGTTCTCTAGAGGCGCGACGATCGGAGCGAGAACGAAAATGGGCTTCGTGTATCTCATGTCTTTGGGTTCGTAGCAGTCGATCATAGCCGACGTGATGGTATCAACGAGGAACTCGTCCAAGGATCGGTGGTTGTACGCGTCTTCCCAGTTTGGAATAGCTAATATTCTTTCGGGATGGATGTGCAACACGATGTCCTTCTGCACCTCTGTCTGCATCTCAAGGAAGAACGCATTGTCGAGGTTAAAGGCGTTGAGGTTAATCTCCACGTCGTCATCCCCCTCCCCGCTGTCGCCCTCGTCTGCTTTCTTCCCCCTGGATGATTTCGACCGTTTCCCGGAAGACTCACCGGTTCTTCGCCGTGTCGACGAGTCTTTTGGCGTTTCATCCCCACCTCCAACCCTTTTCCTCTTCTCAACGGAACCGCCCTCTCGTGTTGTTGGCGTTCGAGCACTCCCTCCTGCCTTTCTCTGCCTTTTCAGAGCACCTACTCTCTCTCGCTCTTCCTCATCTGGCAAGTTGCGCTTGCCTCCCGACTGAGTTTTTTCAGCCGATCTCTCACGGAACAGCCCCTGCTCGGACACCTCCTCCTCACCGGCGACGTTCCCACTTGCTTCTCGTTCCTGGCTCAACTCGGTCTGCAGTTACGCCGGCGCTGGTCGGGCCTGGCGAGTCGTCTCATCTGACCCACGCACCTCCCGAACCTGCGGACCACCCGCTCGATCTCCAGGCGAAACCTCGRCCACCTGCATGCCACGAACGAACGAACCGATCCTTTCGACCAGACCACGAGGAGTCGTCGATTCTGAGCCCTGTCGCAACCGTTCGCCATCGCCGCCTCCATGTGGCGTCGACTCCCCAAGCAAACCGTGGCGGCGAGATACATGCAGGCCCGGTTTCAAAGGAGCACGCGGATGGTCATCCTCCGAGTCGTCTGACATGCCCACCTCTTGATCTGGAGGCGTAGCTGGAAGGCCACCCTGACCTCCCATCCCCCCTTCAGAGCACTCTCCTCCCGCGAACCCAACAGGACCACTGATCGATGTTCCAGGTCCGACGTCCACGGCACTGACAGAGGTACCAGATTTCGCCCAGACCTCGAGGAAGTCTGTGACGTGAACGGCCTCGTCGTGCCCCGGCGCTAGCGGGACAAAGTGAGGCAAAGACATCGCACGACGGCCGTACCCGCCAAACATCCTCCTGGCAACCTTGCATCCCTTTGCGATGCCGTCGACAGAACCATCACTTCTGTAATGGTTCTTCAACGTAAACTTGAAATTGTATTCGCCATCGTCGACCCACTGGACGATGGACCCTGCGAGACGCGTTCTCTCGGCGCGAACGGCGACGAACAAGAGCGGCCCGCACGGTGGTTGCAAAGGGTCGGAGCCGTCCTTGCTCGCCCAGTCCAAATACCAGACACGTTTGCTGTAGTCGCACCACAAGTTTTGAGCACGTCGTTCTTCCTCCCCACCTCCAACTCCCCGACTCGTTTCCCTTGTCGGCGACGACGTCGTTCCTCGACGCTCCTCTCCATGCGGGGCGCAACCACCAGCGGAGCGGCCTCGTCCGTGTGAAGCCATTCCCTGAAACACACGAAGGAAATGAACCCACATTCACTCAGAACAGTTAGCACGTCCCAACATCAACCACGACCCACAACACGTATTCTGTTATCGGTCACTCGGACTCCAAAAGAACGAAGTTCAGTCATAGTTCGACGACAGTGGTCCACAAGCCTGCACGTTTCGGATGAATCAAAGGCATTGTGAGGCATCCTCGTCACACTGCCCTTAAGAGAATGAATGGTCGAAAACGAAGACCGCGGGATAGATCGGATGCATCCGAAGTAGGCGCAGTCGAAAAACCGATGTCACATAGGCACCTGCACCGGGAAAAGCAAAACCTCGCAAGAAGGCCCTAGAACGCTGATACGGCAGACGAAGACGAATACGTTGTCATCCAAAGTCGACAAGTGGATTGTAAAGTCCGCCTTTGTAGTTCGGATGAATCCGATCTCCAAAGCGGTGTGGACCACCCCCTTTCGGCCCGTACGAAACCGAACTCGAGTTTTCTTGTCCTTCCGAGTCGATAAACGGTTGTGACTCGGATGCATCCGAATTCAAACAGCGCGATCCAGAGACGGTCGTCCACAAGAGGTCATCTAAAGCACGTGTTTTCGTCACGGACCTGTGAGCACTGGGTTAAACCTATCCTGCCGGAGGTTCGGTTCGGTTGAATTTGAACTTCGCAAATGTTGCTCGGATTAATCCGAGATGGGGACGGGCAGATGGACCCCACGGTCTGTTGGCGCCCATCCAGCCATCCAAGTTTCTGTTATTCCCCAGCTGTCGTCGGGTCCAACCGAATTTCGGACGGTGTGTCTTCGTCCTTGAGTGTTTAAGACGTCTGTGGCTCGGATTTATCCGATTTCGACAGAGGCTGTCCCGATACGTGCGACCACGACAAGTTGGGCCGACACCGTGTGCTTTCGACGTACAAGTTTATCAGACCGTGCGACGTCGTCAATACCCTCTGCGCATGTGGTAAATCTGAAAATGCCACCGGTGTGGTTCGGATTAATCCGACTTCGCTGAGGCGCTTCGCTTTGCTGTTGCCCCACCACCCACCGGACCTCCCCGCGATTGCTGTAGTGTGTCATTGCAATCTGTGCGTCATCACGAGGGATATCGTCGTCGTCGTGAGTTTTAGTTGGTTGTTGCTCGCCCAATCCAAACAACAGACACGTTTGCTGTAGTCGCAGCACAAGTTTCGAGCTCGTCTTTCTTCCACCGAGCGTAACCATCTCGACTCGTTTTAGTTGCGTGAATCCGAGGCATCATTGACCCTCGTCATCAGACTGCCCTTCGTAGAGCAAATGGTCGAAGACGAAGATAGCGTGGTAGTTCGGACACATCCGAACTGGGCAGAGTCGAAAGACCGACGTTGTGACTCGGATGCATCCGAATTAGGCCGATCACAAGAGGAGGACATCGGCACGACGTGTTTTCTTCAATGACCTGTGAGCAGAGGGTGGACCCTATCCTATCGGAGGTGTGGTTCGGATTAATCCGAGACGGAACGGTCTTTTGACAGCGTGTGATTTCGTCGTTCACGTTTATCGGGACGTTGCGGCGTCGTAAATACCGTCTGAGCATGTGACAAATCGAAATTTGTCGTCAGTGTGGTTCGGATTAATCCGAACTTCGCCGAGGTGCCTCGGTTTGTGGTCGCCCCGTGAGTTTTAGTGGGTTGTGGCTCGGATGCAACCGAAATTAACAAGGGTGATTCGGATACGTCAGCTGTTGCGCCACCACAAGATGGTATGTACAGGGTGGGCTGTCGTCCTCCTGGTTGGTCAAACATGTCGCCGTCGACAATACCCTATGAGCATCTGATCGCTCCGTGTCCTGTCCTGTGTCCAAGTCAGCGGAAGGGTTCCTCGCGGCGTTCGGCTGACGCGAGGTTTGATAGGGTTTAAAGATTTGAATTCGCGTTCGCCTCCTGTGTCTTCGAATCTGTCGTAGCAGCCTTCGGATTACTAATCTGTGATTGCATTCACGGGGGGACCAACCTGAGATCGGTTGAGCGACTGTCTGCGATAAACAAAGATTGGAGAAAGGCAGAAAACCCTCATAGACACGGAAGGGAGACTAAGATCGATAGAGACATCGACAAGGAGAGGATGCGCAGCGAGAGAGCCTGTCTTTAGCTCTCTGTCTCTCCATGTGCAGATCCTGTGGATGGTGTTGTCCATTTTGGAATTCGCAATGTGACCCGTTAATAAAACGGCACAAAAGAAATATAAGAAAAAATTGTTCGTGTCGGCGAGAGGAAGATTGGCAAAAAATGTAAAAAATTCGACGAGTGTGGAGGATAATTTATGGATACAGAACCGAACGCCGAGCGAACTGCACGACGTGACTTACGCGAGAAACAAATAAAGAAACCGAGCGCAATAAAAATTAATTCGGCGTGAAGAAACTCCATGTGCAATCCAGAAGAGACACGATTCGTGAGAAACCATGTTCTCATGTTCGACAACATACGACTGAAATCCTTATATCGCAGTTCGTGAGAGAGACAACATATTGACGACAACCAAGTAACACTTCAAGGAAACATCTGAAGTGACGACACAATCTCGAAGGGCGTGTCGCAACATTCTCGGGCTGCATTCGCGGGTCCCGTTTCGTTGGTGACCACTCGCCCCGATCAGATGGCACACTCACATGTCCACGTGACAGCTCCTGAACATGCGTGGCGACGATCAGATAGAGCCCCACATCCATCAGCGTGGCCACGCTTGTTCAGGACGTGACATGTGGACGTCTGAGTGTGCCATCTGATCGGTGCGAGTGATCGCCAATGAAACGCATGCATTCTTGCTTCTGAAAATCCTTCATCTCGCCCCGATCAGATGGCACACTCACACGTCCGCATGTCATGTCCTGAACATGCGTGGCCACGCTGGTGGGTGTGGGGCTATATTGGAGCCTCAGATCCATTCTTCTGCCGCATAGAGCCCCGTTGTCGCATAGAGCCGCGCATCCATCAGCGTGGCCACGCTTGTTCAGGACGTGACACGTGGACGTCTGAGTGTGCCATCTGATCGGTGCGAGTGATCGCCAATGAAACGCATGCATTCTTGCTCCCGAAACTCCTTCATCTCGCCCCGGTCAGATGGCACACTCACACGTCCGCATGTCATGTCGTGAACATGCGTGGCCACACGGATGGGTGCGGGGCTATATTGGAGCCTGGCATCCATTCTGCTGCCGCATAGAGCCTCGCGTCCATCAGCGTGCACACGCTTGTTCAGGAACTGACACGTGGACGTTGGCTGTGCCATCTAATCGCAGCGAGTGGTCGCCAATGGAACGAGATCCGCAAACGCACCCCGAGGTAAGTTCGCGAAAGAAACATGCCAACGCATAAGACAAACGAAATAGAGGCGCTGAAGACAAACTAACGACGGGGACGAAGATGGTAGTTAAACACGACGGCACACACGTCCACGTGTCAAGTCCTGATCATGCGTGGCCACGCTGATGGGTGCGGGGCTCTATTCGACAACATTTTGTTGCCGCATAGAGCCCCRCATCCATCAGCGAGCCCACGCTTGTTCAGGACCTGCCACGTGGACGTGTGAGTGTGCCATCTGATCGGGGCGAGTAGTCGCCAATGGAACTAGATTCACGACATAGAGGCACTGATAGAAAACTGACGACGATGGTGGTGGAACACGACGCTGTTGGTTCTGTCTCGTTCGTTTGTCTGCGCTTGTCAGTTACGTTCGCTAACTTTGTGCGAACGACACAGACAAGCGCAATGAAACGAACGAGATAAAAGACAGAGAGAGAGATAAAGAGTTAGCGAGAGAGAGAGAGAGCGACAGAGAGGCGATCTCCGCCTTCATCACACAGCCCAATCAAACGTCACGATCAAATGGCCCCGAACGTCATAGACTCCCTATCACATATCGGACTCACGGATAGAAATCCCTGTTGGATCACACGACACTGCTCGTTCGCGGCGACTGAACCCAATGTAATCGCCACCGCGCGAATCCCGACTACAGATCGCGTACATGTGTGGGCATTCTGACGGTCTACGCAAACC